GTGGATGAGCTAGTATTTTTCTAGGGCGAATTTTGCTCTATATCTCTTTGCCTATTTTTTATACTCCTAGTGCTTCTCTTCTAGGATCTTGCAGTTGGTTTCTGTTGTCTTAGACTAGGCTAGGATATTTATATTATCTACAAACCCTAATACTAATATGTTTCTTAATTCTAGGAGTAGGAGTAGGTCTGCTATAAAGATAAGGAAGAGGATTAGGGAGAGTATTAATCCTTAAGGGATTCCCTTTTCAGTTAGTATTAGGTCTGATTTGAATTTGCCTAGAATAAGCTGTATTGACCTTTCCTATAGGAAGGACTAGATAAATTAGACTATCTAGTTTAGTATAGCCTTCTATTTAAGTATATATAGGAGCCTTTTATAGGAGACATTGTTAAAGGCTCCTAAGATGTTAAGGGAGAGGAGGGTTGCTACCTAGTTTTAACTATAGTGCTAGATATGCTTAATCTGTTCTATAATTAGTTCTATAGCTATTAGTGTTAACCTCTTCTTTCTTCCTCCTATCTAGCCTTTAGGAAGGATGTTCCTTTCCTCGGTAAAGATTGTTAGCCTTTTAGCGATAATTTTTTCTAGCACCTTGCCTATTATATTAAGTAGGGCTATTAGTCTGTAGGCCTTGAGCTACGTATAGTCTTCCTTCTAGGGCTTCCTTAGCACTACTGTTAGGGACTTCCTAAATGGTCTTAGGTAGTGTCCTAGTGTTAGGCTTTATAAAAAGATATTAGCTAGTGCTAGGGCTAGCCCCTTCCTATATACTTTTAGAAGTTTGTTGTAGATCTTGTCTTCTCCTAGTACCTTATTGCCTAGAATTTTCTTTAGGATCCTTTTAATAGTTTCGGGTTTAACCTAGGTGTCTCTTAGTGTACCTAGTAGTAGAGTCTCTTGTTCTTTCTCCTTTATGTCTAATAGGTCTACTTATACTTTTCTATAGAAGAAGTGTTAGCCTAGGGCTCTTACTTTCCCTTCTATTGTAGTCTGTATTTGTCCTTATTAGTCTATAATGTCCGGGAATTGTAGTAGTATATCTTTATCCTGTTTAGGTCTCCTTGCCTATTTAGCTATCCTCTATATCTCTTCTAGTTTCTTTATAATTATTCCTATTATAGATCTCTATTCTTGTATCTTATCCTTCTTAATCTAGATCTTCTTTTCCTAGTAGGCTTTATTATAGTTGTCCTATACTTTCTAGGTATAGGTTTATATCTACTACCTCCTAGCCTTCCTTGCTGCTTTAACCTTCCTTATATACTTACTAGTCTAGTATAGTTACTAGTATAGTAAATGTTTCTTTGCTAGGGTATACTTTCTAGCTACCTGTTTTAGGATTCCTATTAGTTCTTCTACTGCCTTATTAATGTCCTCTAGCCTTAGGAGGTGCTTTGTTAAGAGTTCCTCTAGTTTTAGGTCCCTTTCTAGTTCCTCCTTAATCCTATCCTATTAAGCACCTTTCTAGTTAAGCTTCTCCTCTAGTTCCCTTTCCTAATTAGCTTAGACATTTAGCTCAATCTATACCGGGAAGTGGTCTAATGATTCTTCTAGCTCCTAGTTGACCCTATATCTTGTAATCCTGTTCCTAATCTAATATAATATAAAGTATAGGTCTAGTGTGCTGCTGCTTCCTCTTGCCTCCTAAGTAATTAGTCCCTTTAGGGTGACAATTTCTATTCCTTCCCTCTCTAATATATTAATTAGTCTTCCTGCTAGGAAGTAGTAGGCTAGGGTAAAGTCTAAGCCCTAGAGGGGGTAGTAGAGGTTGAAATCCCTAAGTAGGATTTGGTAGGTGTTCCCCTAGATAACTCTAGGTAGTCTTTCTAGGGTTTTTAGTTAGGTACTGCTTCTTAAGTCTAGTAGTAGGTTATATATATAGTAGACTTGGAGTGTACCTTAGGATGTCTCTACTTAAACTAATGTTAGGTCCCTATCCTCCTATAGTATAGCCTACTAGGTTTCTATATCTATCTCCTTGCTAATATAGATATATGTCCTTAGGGCTCCCTAGTTGTAGATAATTAGGTAGTATCTTAGGTCTTTAACTGTTGCTAGTCTCTTTATATATAGGTTAAGCTAGGGCTCTTAGATTGTAATAATGTAATATTCTTTTAGGTTTAGTGCTTAAAGGAAGCTCCTCTATACTTTGTCTTTACTCTTGTTAATATTGTACTATATAATGTTCAGTGATGTTGTAATGTTTATTAGGTTTTATCTATATTATTTCCCTATAAGTTTTCCTTTAGTCTTCCCTTACTTTAGACTAACATTTAACTAAGCTTTATCTACCCTGCTTCCTTTCCTACAATGTTAAGGTATCTTAGTCTCCCTAGTTGCTAGTAACTCTCTTATGCTAGTAAGGCCCTAAATATAAACCTATTATCTTATCTAGACCTCTTTTATAGTACTTAGCTAGGTTGCTTCTATACCTAGCTGCCCTAGCTTATTATGTATCTTTTTAGTATATTGATTCTAGCTTCCTTTGCCTTCCTAGCTGCCTATATTCTTACTAGGCATTCCTTCGCCTAAGAGGGGTGTCTTTTAGTGTAGTATGCATATCTTGCCTCTCCCTTATATACTTTGTATTCTTTAACCTAGTAATCCCCTATATAATAGGAGCAGGTGTTAGTTGTCTTTATGCACTTAGCTGCTAAGTATCTATAGTATTAATATTTGAAGCACTGCATTATCCTATAGTTGCTTCTATGTATCTCTGTTTCTAATCTTTTAAAGTCCTAGAATAACCCCTAGTCTAGTACTATATTAGCTTGCTCTACACTCCCTACCTAGATAATTAGGGAAGACTGCTTCTTAGTCTCTTTAATTTTCCTTTTAATCTATGCCACTTTTGTAATCTTTAGGCCTAGGTATATAGCTTAGTTTTGTCTCTATAGGCTCTTAATATCCTGTTCTTCCTTAAAGCTTCTTATTATGCTATAGGCTATAATTATAAATTGCTATTAGGAGACCTTTGCTGTTTTCCCTATCTTGGTTGTCTATTCTTTTTATATTTCTAGCTTCTTTTTGTCCTGCTCTTATGCTATAAATAGCTTAATTACCCCTTTACCTTCGTTCCTAGCCCTAATTACTTCTTTAACTACAATTCTTTCTACAATCTCTTTCCCTATAAGTCCTTAGATTTCCTTTTACTCCTATAGGTCCGTAATATAGACTCTAACTACTGTCCTCGGGGGTTTTGGCGCCTCCTAACTAGCTACTACTACCTAGGTGCGGTAGTTTAGGCTTATCTCCTATTGTTTCTTCGTAATCTTTGCTGTAACTGTATTAGCTACCTTTGTAATTACGTAGCTTGCCTAGCTGTAGATTGCTTTTAGTCCTCTAAGGAGTTCTATTCTAAGATTATTATCCTATATGCCCTCTTAGGGGTTCTTCTATCTTCCGCCTTTAGTACCTCCTCTGCCCTAGTATATAGTGCTTTCTATTCGTCCTCCCTTCCTTCTTAACTGTCTTCCCTTCGTCTCTAATTATTCGCTGCTATTTTGCTTCTCGAATAATATCTATAGTCTATAACTAGTCTTATATAATAGATAAGACTTTATTCGCGGCGGTAAGTAATCGCGTTAGGGATGTATTAGGGCTAGAAGAGGGGGAGTAGATATAGTAGGCGGATATAGAGGCGGACGGCGGCAAAGTTAAGGAGATAGCATTTAACGAGGAGACGTAGGATCGAAGAATTAGGAGATATATAGTAAAAGAGAAGAAGAAGTCGAAAGGAAACAAATAAAAGAAGGTAGAGGTATATCGCTTTAATATAGCCGTAGAGGACGAATAGAATATATTCTTATTAACCGTAATAAATAGATGCCCTATATAATATAACGAAATCTATTAATACTATATAAGTCGGTCGCTAAGTCGGTACTAACTTAGTGTACGTAGTAGACATATATAAATGCTAGTAGTTACCCGAGTATACGTATAAACGTTAGATATTAGTAGAAGCAACAATCGTATAATATATAGATCCGATAGAAAATGTAATTTAAATACTAGTACTAGTATATACGACGACTCGAGCCCGACTCGATATACGAGTTAGATAGTAAAGAATAAAATTCTTACTACGAACAGATTTGCTAGAATTTCTAGATCGCGACGATCCTATTAGACAAGATCTTTAACGTACGATCCTAAGGATCCTAAGCGATCCTATCGATAGGATCGTCGCGATTAGTAAAAAAGTTTCTATAACGTACTTAAAGACCTCTATCTCTTGCTTAATAGCTTTATCTTCTTTTTTAGCCGATATATAGTCGTCGTCGTCTATACTAGTTTGCTAGGTTTACTAAGTATCCGCTAGTAACTCGTCGTTAGTATTCGAGCCTTTACTTAACTTAACGGTTAGCTCTTAGCGGCGCCGCTTATTAGCGTTATTAGTAGCTCGGCTAGTCGATTGCTATACGAGAAGGGCCTCCTTCTTCTTTAAGGAAGGCTTCTACGGTCGCTTAGAGGCTCTTAGTATAGTAACGGCTCGTTAACGGCTTCCGAATATGCCTTGTTCTTAACCTTAAGCTTTACTAAGAGAGCCTAAGTAGACAGAGGTAAGAAAGACTTTCGTTCCGTCCCTAGATTGCTACCAAATTTGTATAGTGTAGGTAGGTCTACGGCAAAATGATAGCTACGCGGAGATATCCATGGTCTCCGCATATAGCGCGACTTATTGAATAGCACAATATATCTCAGCCAAGATGCGGTCAAGATCGAGTGCCATCGACTTTGATGAAAACCACAGTTAACGGAAACAAAGCTCGCCAAGATGAGAAAGCGCACTGCTTAAAAGAGGTAGGTACGCAGTCGCTCATTGCATGAGGTATCCAATGATGTAGCCAAGGAAGGTGTGAACATGGGCTATTTACCAACACTTGAGGTTCATACCATCTCCACGACCGCAGAAACATCAACGAGTTATCATCAACACATTCCTTCAAAACAGTACATGTGGCAGAACAATGTTTCAAAAATCTTTTGCAATAATGGGTCTGCTCGGCCTAGCCAAAGACAAGCTCACCAGGGAAAGGAATGCTCGGCAGGAATCGCCAGCAAAGTCATCAGCAGCGAAGACCGAAAGCATGTTGAAGGCTGAACGATGTCTCAAAAGCTCTACATCTCCCGCTGAAGTCCACACTGCCAGCGAGAAGCAACATGAATCCGATAGCGATCGTCGTGTCGAGTGCCTTGCCGTCACTCAAGACGCCGGCCATACAACATTGCCATCTCCCACACCCGACAGCCCGGTATCAAAACCGAAGATCGTGATGAGTGGCCTGCCCGCAAGTGCTGGATACTTCCACAGCAGCCACATGTCAGAAGACAGATATGCATGGCCTCATCCTGCGACTCGCAGCTATGATGACCGGACAGCAGCCTAGGTGGCATTGTGAGAAGTTCAATCAAGATATCGCATCATAATTTCGAGCATGCTGACCAGGACAGAGGCCAGCCAAGGCATCCAGAAGCTCGTCACACTCGACCCAGAACTTCCAAGAAAAATCGTCAGACCTGGCATAGCCGGTCTCATCCTAGCCTAAAAGCTGCTTCCGTTCGCCTTACTAGTGATCGGTTACGCTCTTTCAGAAGAGCATTGATGCGAGGAGAAGGAGGGGCTGCGGGAGAAAAGGTTGCTGGCACGAGCGTATGAGAAAGGACGTGCTGGATGACACAGGAACCGATTACCTACGTGCTCATTGAGAAGATCAGCAGTCCTACTACGCTCTTCACAAGCTGGCCCCTAGTCTTTCCGTCTGCGCAGCGAGACCTAGCTGCAAGAACACATCCTCATCGCACATCTGCATAACATGTATGTGTTTCCCACGAGCTTTGAAGCGAAGCGGCCGAATGATTCAGGCAGAGATGAAGGACGAGTCATTGGATCATTAGCCCTATGTCTCCAAAAGTCCGGATGTATACCTCTGGCCCCAGAACTCGAAACCTGCCGAGAGTGTTCCTGATGAAGTCCACCTCATTGGGGACGTTCTCAGTTGATTCCTCTTGAATTTCTCGCATTACTAAGAACTGTCCCAATAATGGCTCGTCTGTCGATCATCGGCTGAAAGAATATGCAAGGATAGCTTACCCTGTCATTTCCCTGCAAGAAGTAGTTTCCTTTCGTCCTTATTATTATATAGGTTCGTATGCCAGTAGTGCGGGAAAGTTCTCACATCCTTGGATGAAAGCATTGGCAGTAACCGAAGTCTCAGCTCTTCTACCAGAATCAAAAATTTTGTACTTTGTCGTGGCCTTTTCATTAATAATCTCTTGAGAAGTATGGCATACACCCAGGCAGTAAGTACCGGTACGATTCTTCTGCCAGTTCATTCACCAATGAAGAATGTATTTTATATAAAAGCAAGAGAAAATGCATAAAGTGTGTGGCTTTCTCTACGGATTCACTCCCCTCCTCCCCACTTTTCTCCCGGCCCGATCCTGGCTGGTCCCCTCCCCGCAACAAAAAACGACTCGAGCTTGCCGACAGGACAGGGAACAAGCCCAAAGCAGCAACTCAAGCTCCCGAGGCTATCCTCACCCGGCATCAGCATCAAAAGCTCACGCAATGCCTTCACGCGTGCACACTCATAGATGTTGAGAAATCCATCCTCTATTGCATTTCCAAGCGTAACGTAAGTCGATAAACAAAAATGTCCTTCTCAGGCCAAAACCTCCAGACCGTGAGCGGTCAAGTGATGGACGGCGCGGCATCGAAATCTCCGCCATTAGCTGGATTGAGGGTATTGGAGTTCGCGGGTTTGGCGCCAGGCAAGTATTTTTTTTCCCCTTTCACTCAATCATTGCCTCTCGTTAATCGTGGTCTAGGTCCCTACGCCGGCCTCCTCTGCGCAGACTACGGCGCCTCAGTACTCCGCGTCGACCGCGCTCATCCCAAAGCCCATGGTGGCTCCGACCCTCCACCCGTAACACCCGACCAATTAACCCGTCACAAAACCTCTATCGCTGTAAACACGAAAACTCCAAAAGGTGTAGAACTCATCAAAGCAATCATCCCCAACATAGATGTCGTCATCGATCCTTTTCGTCCGGGGGTTTTGGAGAAAATGGGATTAGGTCCGGAAGAAGTCTTGCTCAAAATCAACCCGAAAGTGATCGTGGCGAGAATGACGGGTTTCAGGCGTGATGGGAAATATAAAGATATGGCGGGGCATGATATAAATTATATAGCTGTGAGTGGAGTTTTGGGTATGATGGGGAGAGCTGGGGGGAAGCCTTATGCGCCGGCGAATATTGTGGGAGATTTTGCGGGTGGAGGTGCTGTGTGTTTTATGGGGATTTTGTTGGCGCTGCTGCAAAGGGAGAAGAGTGGGCATGGACAGGTTGTGGAGGCGAATATGGTTGATGGGAGTGCGCATTTGGCTTCTATGCCGAGGTTTGGGACCAAGACTCCGTTGTGGGATCAAGAGAGGGGGACGAATACGCTGGATGGTGGGTGTCCGTACTATGATACTTATGAGACGAAGGATGGGAAGTATATGGCTGTTGGGGCATTGGAACCGCAGTTTTATGCTGAGCTTTTGAAAGGGTTGGGGCTTAAGCCGGAAGATGCGTTCTCGCCGAAGGATAGGCTTGAAAAGAGGACGTGGGACCACCAGAGGGTTGTCTTCACGAAGCTGTTCAAGGAGAAGACGCGAGCTGAGTGGGAGAAGGTGTTTGATGGGACTGATGCGTGTGTGACGCCTGTCAAGACACAGCAAGAGCTCGAGGAAGAAGGGTTCGATCAACGTCCGATTGTGACTTTGAAATACACGCCCGGTCACGCAATCCACGATGGAGAGCCCGAAGGGCGTGATCCAGCAACTGGTCAAGGTTGTGGTGTTGAAGGAAGTGGATGGAGTTCATCAGGCCTTTATCCCGGCCAGGAGGGAGAGGAGACTCTCGGCCAGTGGATGGGTTGGTACAGGGGGCGGAATTATACGGTGAAGGAGGGAGCTCTGGAGTTGATTGATCAGCCGAAGGCCCGGCTATGAATGCAGCTTCATTGTGCACCAGTACAAAATCCGCTGTCGTTGACGCGGCGGAGCTGTATGCCCGCGGCGGCCACGGTATGAGTGCCGTCGGCCTGCGTTCTCCATTTCAGGTTTGCATTCGTGCTGGCGAGATTGGGCTCGATATGATCTGAGTTCCAACGGCCGGCCTGTAGTGCTCGCGCTCTCTCCAAAAGCCAGTTTAGAGATGCTGAAGCAGCTGGCCAGACTTTCCTGTACAGCGGACCGCAGTTTACGCATCTTAGGCTGGCGTTAGTGTTGGGTCTGCGGGGCATTGGTTGTTGGTCTCCATTATCTTTCCTGCACTGATTGAGAATGTCTCAAAAAGGATTGTAGATAGCGGGTCGGAGCTCTTCCTCATGCAGGCACGCCAATATACCCCGAGTGCACTAGTCAATGAAGAAAGCAAGTCTATCACGCGGTGCCGGTTCTTGTGGTTCGTCTTCGAATTTCGATGCAAGGTGGGAGCAGAGTCTTCCATGAGGTGACGTTGATATACGATAGTGACGTTGATATACGATAGTGACGTTGATATACGATAGTGACGTTGATATACGATAGTGAAGTTGATATACGACAGTTGGCCATGGCTTCTGGCATGGTACTAGGTAGGCTGTGCACCGATCACAGAAATGGCTTATCGTCGTTCACGGCGAGTTCGTGTTAACTTGTCGGGCATGCCTCCGGACCGAGGATTCGCTTCTCATAGTGACCCGCGTACCGATTCGGGCTCAGAGGGTTGTGCGGACTGAGCAGGGACAGCAGGGAGCAGGCAGTGTGCGCCATGCAGGTCTTGCGGGGCTGCAATTAATGTATTGCACGAGCGATAGCGAGCACCTGGCCGCAGATCATCGTTGGGTCGTAGGCTGTAGCTAGAGACGTAGACTCACAGTGTATTTAATTTCCGGGCCTATAAAGTATAAACACAGTGTTCACGATATGAACACGCACGAGACACAGATTAGCTAATCATTAGCTACCTAGGGACCTTAAGACCTACACCGAGAATGATCTATTACGAAGAATATCCACCGTGCCGAGCAGTTATCCGATGTATTCGGCTATATTAACCGCTGTGCTTATAAGGCAAGCTGCAAGCACCAAAGGGGTGACGGGGTCTATGTTCACCGTATAATAACGGTGATGTTCACGCCTGTGCCATTGTGTACAACATCTCTAGTCGTAGCCGGTAGCTGTTAGCGGGCACGCGAGCATCAGGGATAGAGCGACGAATAGCACTATATACATGATGGGGGAGTGCTGCGCTGCAGTGCGTGTGTCTTCCCCCGAAGTGATTATTTTGTTTCGTGCAGCATCACATCGATCCCGTCGTCACAGGTGCCGCCGTGAGATGAACTGCTACTGCTACTGCTACTGCTGCCACTGCCGCTGCTGGTGAAAGTAGGCGCGGCCGTCCCGTCCTCATCCTGCACGCTCTCCTGCTGACTCATCCGACAGGACTCGCTCTCCTGCTGGCCGGACTCGAGCAGCTCCCACATCGCCGGCGACCTGCATTCGCGCTGCCGTGGGCCCTTCTCGACCTCACGACCAAGCGCAAGCACCGCATTGGAAGCAAGTGATTCAGCTCAGCACCAAACTCGGCGGTGACGGCATTGGCATTGGCATTGGCGTTGGCGTTGGCGTTGGCATTGGCATTGGCATTGGCATTGGCGGATTTTTCGGCAGCCCACCCCCTCGCCCCACGTACAGCAACATTCGGCCATTCGGCGACGTCCGCCCGGCAAGCCAAGCGAGCATCATGGGCATCTTCAAGAGGAGAGAAAAGGACAAAGCTGCTTCAGCTAACGGCGAGCCTCGTTCTCCTATTCATAACCACAGCCCCAGAGGCCCATTCAGCAGTATGCGACAAGCGAATAGCATCCCCTCGCAGAATGCCAGCATACCAGACATACCACTGCCCAAAGCTCCAGATCCGCACGTCGACCCGGCCGCCTATCTACGCAGCATCTATTCCGTGAGAGAGCGAAGCAAGCTTGTGCTAGAGAAGGCCATGAGAAACCAGCTACGCCACTTCGATGTTGATATGTCAAAGTTTGCCGACACGGCGCATTATGTTGTTGCAATTATAAAGGTGGGAGAGGCGCATGGCCTTGTCTACTCTCACCAAGCTGATTGTGAAGTAGCGCGACTATGCTCCAGACTATTCCTCTATTCCTCCTCACGGCAGGTGGCAGCACTTTGAGGTCGGTGGCAGACCGCGAGTCGATCAGCTCATGCAGACTTGGCCGAGTACGGTGGACAGCCACGAAAGAACACGACGATTGATCGATCTATTTCTGGTTTCGGTGCTTTTAGACGCCGGTGCTGGCGCCAAATGGCAGTACAAATCGAAAGAGAGTGGGAAAGTGTTCAAGCGCAGCGAGGGTCTCGCAGTAGCAAGCTTGGAGATGTTCAAGACCGGCTTGTTCTCCAGCAATCCCGATCAGCCATTTCAGGTGAACAGCGAGGCATTGAAGAAGTTGACGGTGGAGCAAATGGGCAAGGGATTGCAGGTCAATCCGGAGAATCCCATGGATGGACTGGAGGGTCGAACGAACTTGCTCATCCGACTTGGCGATGCGCTTCTGAACCAAGAAATCTTTGGTCCCGAAGCAAGACCCGGCAACATGCTCGATTACCTACTCGCGCATCCCTCGACGTACGCGACATCGATTCCGATCATACCTCTGCCGACACTATGGGACACCCTCATGAATGGTCTCGTTGCCATCTGGCCTGCCACGAGAACGCAGATTGATGGAGTTCCACTCGGTGACGCCTGGCCTTGTGGCTCCATGCCATCACATCCCAACACTCCTTGGGAAAGCATTGTGCCATTCCACAAGTTGACGCAGTGGCTGACCTACTCCCTCATGGTCCCCATGCAGAAGCTGGCGCATGTGCACTTCGTAGGTGTGGAGCTAATGACCGGCCTGCCCGAGTACCGAAATGGTGGCCTGCTTGTGGACACCGGCCTTCTCACGTTGAAGGAGGAAGACGCCATTCGTGGTTTGGAGCATTACCAAATGAATTCTACAAGGCAAGGACAGCCGAACGTGGAAGTGGTACCAATGTTTACAGCTGACGACGATGTCATTGTCGAGTGGCGAGCTTTGACTGTCGGGTTCCTGGACGAGCTTTTGGTGGAAGTCAACGCTCTGCTCGATCTTTCTGGCGAGAACAAACTTAGCTTGGCACAGATGCTCGAAGCCGGAACGTGGAAGGTAAGTCCAGCACTTTCCCAGACTCCGAAATTGATGCTCAACATGATATGCAGGGCGGACGAGAAATTGCAGAAGTCTCACGACCCAATACCAAAGAGCCACCTATCATGATCATATCCGATGGCACAGTGTTCTAGGAGTCCTACTTGTATTCAGGATGGGAGCATGATCCTCCTTGGTGGGAAGAAGGTCCACATAATTCTTGCGTGTGGCCTAGACAACAATCTGCACAGCTAGATGGAGCATCGACATTGATCACCAAAAGCAGACGCCGAAGCCTACAAGGAAGTCAAATTCCGGTATTGAGTCGCGCAAGCGCAAGAGCGCCAACCGGGGACCATCCGCTTCGCGCACATCCAGTGAGGCGTGACAGCAGGACCGGGACAAGCGATTAATCGGTTCATTCAACAGTGAATAACGACAGCAGCTGAGCCAAGAGCAGGACGACTCGCAACTTAGGGAAAGTCAAGGGACGAGAAGGCTACGTCATCTTTATGCACAGCAGCGCTTGTCCATGACGGCGATTATTGCCATTCTTTCGATTGCATCTCCCCGAGCGCTTTCGTAATGTCGAGGTGGGGGATACACAAAAGAAAGCCGGGGGATGGACGGCGTTGCTATAGACATGCTTGCATGACTTACGAGTTCAGGAATGAAGCTTGACGGTTACGGCCGCACCAAACATCCACATGAATTTTCTTTATAACCCCACTGGCAAACCAACTGAGCTTTCTATAGGGACCTAGGACATGCTTATGTGCCAAGACCACGCTGAATGTTATTTTTTTCGGCCAATGCGTCATTGAAGGCAAGATGTATGGCAAGGCTGTTATCTGTCGTTGATCGGGAGACCGTGAGGGATACTTTGTCACGCAAACCGCTGTGTGGCCCTGAGATGTCGCGACGCTGGTCAATTTTGATAGCGATCGCCAGAAGGAGAACTGTCGCCGTCCACCATGATCAATATGAGATTCTCTTCTTCTTTACGAACAAAACGACCAGAATGCTTTGCCCCCGGACAGTGTGGAAAAAATGAGATCTGAGATGCCCAAGTTCATGGCGATGGCTTGATACCCTGAATTAATAGAATGTGACCGTCCGCTGTTTGTAGTGGTGTGGGATGTAACAAGCGTCTTTAGGGCGCCTTTCCACTGCTGAATGTGGTTGGGACTTGCTCAGACCTTGAGCGCTCAGCCTTTTTTTTTCTCCGTGGCTTGTGACATCTGCAGGTGACCCATAGTGTTACCGGGTTTTGAGAAGGAGGCGTTTCGCTATCAATAGACCTTCATGCACGCATGCACGGAGGAAGATAGCTCTGCCGATCTGTATGTAGAGTTCCTGCCAAGCATCACGAAGGCAATCCAGGCTGAATATTGCCTATAGAAGCGGTCATTGTCTTTCGCGAACTACGCCGCAAGTGATGTGACTCTGAAAGACCATATTATGCCGGGACACCAAGTCGTTTCTGGATTAGTGCTCGACATTCTTGCTCTGTCAAGAGAATTGGTATTGGACTCTTCTCAAACCGCATCGCGAATGGTTCTCGTCCTTCACCAGAGTGAGGACGTAGTTTCTCCTCGCCAAGCTGTGAATGCCAAACGTCAGCACGAGCCCTTATCGGCGACAGAGAAGTACTCACCACTAGGCAAGCAACTGTGTACATCGACTTGTCCCTGATATCCTCCCATTCAGACCTCAAGGTTTTGTTGTGGTTGTGAGCCTTTCCTAAGATAGATTCACTCATGGTGATCGCCCTTTTATACCAGGCCCCAATGCATCGGGCGGCTTCAAGGAACACTATGTCTTTGATTGCCTTCACCAGGTGATAACTTTGTTGAAGGTTCGAGAGCAGGATTGCAGCTTGTGCGTACAGTTCCGCAACCTGTTGAGCTGGGCATTGCCCCTCAGCTTCATAGAGGCAGGCGAGGAGGAAGGTGTATTCGATTCGCTGAACCTCGGTGAGTGGGCGCCAGCGAGGAGCTGGAGGGTCAGGCGTCCGCGTGAGAACAATGTTCTCAAATCTACTATAGTCGGGAGGAGAACCGTCCAACGCATATCTGAGGTGCGTGATCAATTTCCGGCGACATTCGCTTAGCCTCATAAACTCGGTAGGTCGACAAGCAATGCACCGACATTCGAAACCGTAGTGCATCTCCAGCAACGCCTTCCGTTGCCTTGCAGTCCATCCTGAGATGCGATCGTTCAAATAGCTGATCTCGAGTTCTTCGCCCTCGGCGATGTCTTTCAAAGCTATGACGGCATGCCATTCCGTCACTACTGCATTTGGAATGCAAGAGTGATTGATCCGTGAGATTTTGAGGTATAAAGACGAGCTTTCCTGGTCTCCGAAGCTATTGGCGTGATAGATTGCCTTGAGCTTGGAGGCAAACCGAACGGAAGTGCCTCGGTGTAGCGCCAATACAGCCTTTCGATCTGCAGCTCCCAGTTTCTTCACTGCGAGCTCCAGGTCCGCGGGGGAGACGAGGTGTGACGGTTTGTCGAAAGAAAGGATTGGCTCCTCTGTGTAAATGATAGTGCCTCGTTTGAGCGGCTGTAGGGCGAAGACTCCATATCCTTTGCCGTCAGTCTTGCGGGTTTCCGTCAACGTGTTCATAATTGCTGCATATGGATTGTACACGATGGAATTGACGTAGCACTCGAAGGCAATATAAATGTGCGCGTTGCCAATGGCGACAGGCAGCGATCGCGTCGAGGAGACGCGACCTGAACTCCTGGGATCAGCGATCAATCACAAAGCCAAAGTGAGTTGCCCATGTCATTCACGAGGGTATCCGAAAGCCAAAACATCGGTATCGGTATTGACCGTGGTTGAGGCAGCACTGGTTTTCAAAATCTGCATCCTGTGAAGCCGAGGGCTGTGTCTGAAATTTATGTATTCTCCTCTTATATAAACGCAAGAGCCAAAGAAGCCACAGTCGTTAGACCCACCACGAACCATCCTGTCTGGCTAACCTTCTGGTTCGAAATCATGCTCGCAGTATCCCAAACCAAATGCCTCAGACCATTGAAACAGTGGAAAGTAAACGGCATGGCCAAAGTGAACTTGGTCAACACCTGCAAGAACGCTGGCCACGCAGCAAAGCTCGCGGCAAGAACTGCCGACTCCACATGCCATCCCAATACCGGCGCTACGAGGTAAAGAGCTCCGTATGCGTAGAAAAGGCCGGAGACGGTGCAGCCTGTGATGCGGTTCAGGGCTGAGAGGTACCAGGTGATTTGTGGTTGGTAGATGCTGAGATGTGGTGCTACGGGGCGGTTTAAGCGCTGTTTGGCGAGAATCTCGTTGCGGGCGTGGGTTTCGGAGACGGAGGCTGCTGCGACCAGTCTATGAGGTTTCATTAGTATGAAGAGCAGTCCGCTGTCAGAAGACGCTCCCGTGCATACCTCTTCTGTCCGGCAATGCCCATTGCGACTGCTGCTGGCGCCGCGAATCGGTATGCATTGGGCTGTGCGGCTACTGCAATGCTGTCAGCTAGAAGTTCCCAATTGCTGTATCGTATACATACACCGCCGAAGCGACTGCTGCGCGATCCTCTGTGCCAACATCTCGCTCTGCAGATTCAGTGCTGGTGTAGACAAACACAAGCAAAGGACATGTGAAGTGACGCCTCGATTACCACTCTTTCCCGATTGGCTGGTTTGCCCTCGGCTTCGTTATTCCCGGCTGAATTCGGAAGCTGCCGCCGAGCACTTCGAAATTCTGCTTCTTCGCTTCTCTCCTGAGGTTCTACTATTCAGGAATCTCAAAACTCCGTCTGGACATCTATCTGGCTGAAGGCACGGCGAGCACTTACTGGCACGACGTCTTGTCGTGTCGCCGAGTGCGTTTGCAAGATTTCGAGACCAATTGCCTGTAGTTAATCACTCTATGGGAATTCCTATTTCTCGATGGAGCTTCATATCCGGGCTACAGATCTCTCTACCTGCAGGACGTCAGATCATGGACCATGGTAGAGCGAGATGCTCATAGCCAGTATGTAGTGCTGCTGATGGTATCTGCTCCATGCATCCTGGCTCAGATTCAGGCTCTGCAGTGCACGCAATGTCTCCAAGCCTATCACTGGCGCCTGGCGACCGTCGACCGTAACGAGCTAAGAGAGCATTCGGCTCACCACAGCTTCACGGTTGGCCCCCGGATGATCGCAGCCGGGAGGCACACTGAGCCTTGGAAGCTTTGGTCCAGAGATCTGGACATGATAGAACTCCAGGTGGCTCGATCTACGCAGCCCTTCTGCTACCGCCGACGCCACTGCTTACTGTCCACGGTGCTGTGATCCATCTTTCTGTGCTGTGCCAACACACCCTGATGCAAGGCAGGCATGATTGTGACCGCGCCTCGTGGAGAAGCGCTGATCATTCCTCTGTGAGTCTCGATCTCGAGGCTATCGCCCGAAGCACGATTTTGACGTGAGCTTCTTGACGTGTGCAATACGCGAGTCACCAGAAGGAGCCGATGCAAGAGACGACCTCCGGTTTCGCAGATGCAGCTGATGAAGGACTCGGTGGAGATGTCAACTATTGTTTCAATATTCAGATTCAGCTTCGACAGCGCGACATTTTCCAGTCCAGCACTTCCCTTCCACCGACTCCTCGTCCTGGCCTCAAAGAAGACACGCGGTTGCCTCATTGGCAATCATCGCCCAATAGGGACCTTCAGAAGCCACCAATTTCACGCTGTCGGCGAATAAGGTGGATACGAAGGTTACTACCGCATCCTTCGTAGGCTGGTTTTCCACCCCTGCGAGTTATCGACTCGTAGACCTGGACCGTGCTTTTGAATAGGCCCATTCAAAGATTTATCCTGGATGTCAGGTGTTTTAGCTGAACCTAAAGTGGAGTCATAGACACAGCCTTTTACTAGTGATTACTAGGCAATAAGCTACCCGCAGCCCTCTAGTTTAGTAGCGTTTAGAACCACTCGGCGTAGTAACGATTTAGGTTAAGAAGGGCGCCTCTCTCGAGCCTGTCGGTTGACTATCGTAGAAGCGGCAATTTGACTATTATAGAAGCGGCAATTTAACTATTATAGAAGCGGCAATTTTGCAGTAGAAGAGACTATTATATAGACTAAGAGTTGTTATTATAGAATTGCTATAGAATTACCGCCTTCTACGACTATAGCGGAAGGCTTGCCCTCGCTAATTGCTATCTCTTCGACCTCGTTATTATTGTTATTGCTTAGTACGTAGTCTACGAGTTGTTATTAACTTACTACTACTAGCGGTTGACTAGCGGTTACTATATGTCCTTACGCCTCTTAATTCTCGTCTAACTCGCTCGTTACTAGGCAAGTTATTAACGGCGTCGTCTTCTAAGTCGTCTATTGTCTAGCTAGTTAGTCGCCTAGCCGCTCGTTCGTAATCCTCGTCTCTTATATAGCTTATTATCGTATCTATAGTGTCCTAGTCTACGTTATAGAAGATAAGAAGCTCCTTAAAGGACGAGAGGCCGGAATCGGTAAAGTAACGGTCGTCTATAGTAATGCCGTTAATCTCGCGAATACCGTGTATAAAGACCTATAATAGCTTACCCCAATGCTAGTAGTTAGTTAAATAGTGAGTACCTAGCGGCGCAGGTAGACCTCGCACTAGCGGTATTGTATCTCCTATCAAATCTACCTCTTCTATATTATCTAAATTAAGCGGTTGTAAGGACTGTGTTTCTAGCACTGTCTCGCAGCGTATAGGCGTATAAAACGGCGGTAGAAGGCGCGGAATTAGCCTCGGAGTAAGGTTACCTAGCGGCGGAGGTAGCCTCGGAGTAAGGTTACCTAGCGGCGGAGGTAATAAGAACACAGGTTAGCGAATAGGTAACGATTGAACGCGCCGTTTTAATAGTAACGGTCGGAGGGTTATATTAGCATAGACGTAATAAGTTTCCGGCGTACCTAGCGGTAGCAATCGAGTTAGTATAGTAGGTTTAGAAGGTAGTTAAGTCGTCTATTAGCGCTCGGTCTCGCCTATAAATTAGACCTCCTATAGATTGGCGATAAAATGGTCAATATTTAGTGCGTAACAACTGTCCGAGAAGTCCTTAACCTTCCGTACGTAGAAGGCATAGAATAAGTCTTTAATAGAAGGGTTAATAGAAGGATCATCTACTATCCGCTAATACTTCAAATTCAGTGTTTCTACCGCTTCCTTAAAGTGGCCTCGAAGGTCTCTTAATTGTAGTGTTTGTGCTAAGGTAATAGCGTCTTCTTAGTAGCCTTCGATAACGAGTTGTTAAATATCGAGAGCGCGCTAGTATTCGTAAGCTAAGACAACGTTAAGGCCTGCAAATAGCTAGACATATTGTCGCTGTTATATATTACTGATTTCTAGTCTATTAAACAGGTAGTTACGAAGAATGTAGTAGCAAGGAAGGCGTGTTTGAAACTAGGCGAGGCAGTTATAACGAGAAGGTATTACACCGTTATAACTGCATAGTGTGCCCTTGTATATAGGTGCCGCCTTAGCCTCTATCTCAATAGCAATATCTACCTGTTCTCGAAGGCGATCTTAAGCCGCTAGTAGCTGCAGACTCTCGAAGCCTAGAAGTCCCTTTTTGTACTAATATTATATGCGTTTGCCGATCCTATAGCTAGCCAGTTGTGCCTTATAAGCCTGCCTATCGTCTACCTTGAGAACCTCGAGGATAGTGCTATAGAGGTTGTAGCGTACGAGGCTGCGCTTACGCTCAAACTTAATAGCGTAGTGATAACCCTCGAGAGGCGAAGTGGTCCTTATTTGTATCAACAATAGGCTATGAAGCCTTGCCTAAGTAGCCTATTTCCGTAACGTATAACTAGCCTAATTGTACCGTATGTATTCTACCTTGCTTTGCTATTCTATAGGCTTGTTCTCTTTTAACTAGTCCTGTATCTATGCTATATCGTTACCGACGTCGGCGGAGCTTCGAGCGTAGTAGATCGAGTAGTAAAAGCGCTTAACAATCTCTAGAAATTGGGCCTCTAGAAATGAGCGAAGGAAGGTCTCTTTAACGTGCCGCTAGCAGAGGTAAATAAGCACCTGTTTCTCCTTCTAGGATAGGTTAATTGCCGCCTGCTTAGAGGCCGAGTCGTCGATTATAGCGGCTACAGCATTCTAGTATAGTAACCAATTCTTAATAACTCGAAGACCGGCTTCTACTAGCTTGGCTTTCTAAGATTCTAGCAATAAGTGTCCTACTAGCAACCAACACCCTAACTAGTTACGAATATGGATAGTAAAAAGGTTCCAGCTAAGGTCGGTAGTCTTATAAGTTGCGTCTAGCAAGAACAACTGTATAGCATGTAAGTTAGTAATGTTTTGAATTTTTGAAGTTGGTTGTAGGAACTGTAGAACGCAAGCCTTAGAAGCTTAGTTATGCGCCTTCTACAGTAATAACAATAACAACACCTGCACTTACATCCCCTACCTCGGTATTTAACAACTGTCGCTGCCACTCAGTCTAGAAGACAATGCTACGCTCTACCTTGCCCTTTATTTTCTTCTCTATTATCTAATACTAGAGCGGCCTACTATCTAGGTCGTTACAGAGGCCTTAGAGGGCGACAGGAAGGTCGTCCAGCTAGATACTCGCATTTCTACGGTCGTTACTACGCACCTTCCTTAGATTAGGCCTAACCTTCGACTACGTAACAGTGCCTACCTTTACATACTGCCTACCTATCTTGCTAAACTCGTCCTTCGAAGGACTATTTCTAACGAAATCTAGCACCTCGGCTATATTGAATTTGCGCTGTTCTATTAGCTCCTCGAGAAACACCCTTAGAGCGTTGCTTAACGACCTAATATCTATATATCTTAGGTTATAGCAATATAGGTCCTTACTAACCGCGGAAGGGTCGACTCGATAGCGGCGGACACTAATTTCGTATAGTTTAGTAGCCCCCTTCCGATAATGCGATACAACGACTACTATAGTATTACAAGGCTCTTTATTGTATTTAGCCTTGCGAATACTATCTAGAAGCACCCTGTTTCGCTACTAATCGCGCCTATAACGATAATACTAGTGCGACCGCTGCTCTAAGCCATCCTTCGTTCTCGCCGACCTCGACTCCTTATACACGTTGCTTACGTAGGCCTTTAATACCTCGAAACGGTCCGGATCGTACGTCAATCTATGCTCTAGCACATTGAATAGCTGTTCTCGAATATCGATTACATTGTATAGTATACGATCCGGCCTAAACGGCGGCACTAGTTTAGACAAGACAGGTAGCATAGCGATAAGAACAACAGCAATAAGAAGGTGTTGCGCTATTGTAGAAAGAGCTAGATCTATATACAAGAAAGAGCTATAGAGATGAGGTCAGAACTAGAAGTATAACCGAGAAGGTTATTACGGTACTAGAAGAGGAAAAGCACCGTCAAATACTAGGCAAACTATACTAAGTTAATAGATAACGCCCTCTAGAAGTAAACTACTGTTTATAATAGTAGTACGCTAAATTTCCTAACATGTAAGACAACCTTATTTAAAAGCATATAAGACGCTATATTAACAACTAGTAGGGGCTGTATTCCTTCACTAACTATAAGAAGTTAGGTAGTAGAAGAATGTAGAAGGAGGCTTAACCCCTAACCGGCTTGGCTTATTAAAGGCAAATTGGCCTCTTAGCACTACCGAATAATAAGCTACACTGTAACCGGCTACGGTGAGGTAGAAAGTAGCTATTAGGTCTTCGAGATAGTGTAAGAGGGCACTAGCTTATATATGTAAAGGTCTAGGTGTATAGCCGTTAGTGTAATTAGGAGGTAGAACAGAGCGGTTATTAGTAATTGCAGTAGTGCAGTCGACTGGCGGTGCTAGTATTCACGTATAGATTTACCTTCTCGTTGTGCCTACCGCTCCTTATTACTGCTATCTTCCTCGAGGTATTTACTCGCAATAGTAACGGCTATTACAGTAGTTGCTGTAACTATAGTAGCTTCTTCTATAGCTTCTTCTATAGCTTTAGGTTAGGTCTATAGGTCAGGTCTACAGGTTAGGTCTACAGGTCAGGTCTATAGCTGAAGTCTATACCCTAGAAGGTCTAGAATAGGGGCTCCTTACCGCACTAAACCGCTTTTAATTACATGCAAAGTAGCCTCTTCTAAAGGTCCGTAAAAAGCGCTACATTAATCCTTCACATAACGGTTACTAGCTAGCGCTTATTTGGAAGCCGGTGGACCTTCTAAAGGTCCCTAATGCCTGATATCTCGCTATAGCACTCAACATATATCAGCAAATTTGCCAAGGAGCACTTCCGCCCCCGGACGCCTAGACGAACTCTATCTGCCTTTATCATTTTCCGGGGACAGGCATTCCATGTCAGCCTCGCCATGAGCCGCAACTCTCCTCATGTTACGGCTCTCGCAGTGCCGACATGTTCTAAATCGGTAGCTTTCTGCAGGCCTGGAAACCGGTATCTGATCCCCACCTGACGCCGTTACCCGGGCTCGTTTGAGATCACGACCGTGTTGACGCTTCTCCCCCATACGACACACAGGATCACCATGGCTGGTCGACGCCCGAGGTGGGCCATAAGTCGGCCCCTACCTCCGGATGTAGTCAGGCACGGGAGGATACTTACACAGCTCGCTCCATGAAGTGTCCATCCTTCTCTCTCGTTCGCGTGCGGATATGGATCAATACTTGGAGCTTCAGCGACGTAAAATTTTGGCTAGCAGAAGCCAGCCATATCAAGTCCAGTCCAATGTCGTGGCTGTTCGCGAGCCGACACGCAAGTCATATTCACCCACACCCACATCGCCCGGCGAAGATTCTGTCAAAATCCAGACACTGGAGGATGAGCTGAGAAAGCTTGCCGAGAGGCTTGCAGCAGTCGAAGCTCGGCCTGAGCCACGGAATGATTCTCCTACGAAGCATACAAGAGAAAAAGAGGATGCGGCAGCAAAGCACCGTAGGCGATCATCGAGCGTGGCAAGCTTCGTAGCTGTCGAGCCCACGATACCTGAATTGGAAGAAACGACACCATCTGCAGAGAAGAGGGCTTCCGGGTCCAACTTCCTGTTTCATTTTGAGAATGATACCAATGCCAAATCTCAACAGCAGCATCTCACGCCGAAACGATTGTGGGCAATGTGGCAGCAATACACATCAAGTGTCGACCCTCTGCTGAAGGTTCTACACGTGCCTGCCGTTCAGCACCTCTTTCTATCCACAGATGAAGAGAAAGCGCAAGTCAGTCTGGACGCAGAGGCCCTGAAGTATGCTATTTGCTTTGCGGCTGCTGCAAGTCTGGAACAATCAGCGCCAGATGCCTCGTCTTGTCCGTCTGCCAGGCCACTTTCAAGCACCTATGCTTGCCGTCTGGAGAGCACGCTCGCTAAATCTGGATTTATGTCGAAGCCGACGATTCAGGCCGTGCAGGCACTCGCGATTTACTTGATCTGTGGACAACATTTTCTCGATGCAAACTACGTTTGGTGCCTCACCGCCGTCCTCGTCCGGCTTGCATTGAAACTCAAAACCAACCGAGATCCCGAAACGCAAGGATTGTCATTTTTAGACTGCGAATACCGGAGACGGCTTTGGTGGCACATTTGTTCTCTTGATGCTCGAGTTGCAGAGGTGAATGGTACAGATCCACTGGTGTACGAGCGACAATGCACTTCGAGATTTCCGGTGGGCATACAAGACAGTGAATTTGACTCTTTACAGGATTTGGACGCCAAGAGGAACAGCCAGGCCCATGCTCCGGACATGTTTTTCGCATTGTTGCGATTCGAGACCACGTACTACATGCGGACGGTCCTGTACTCGGATGACTTCATGGAGGACAATGGCTGGCCAATCCTACCTACAGATGGCAAGCTATCCATAATTGAGTCTCTTGAGAAGATTCTGGAAGAGAAGTATTGGTGTCGCTGTCAATGCGGCTCCTCTGTATGCAGACTCGCCATTGCTTCAAGCAAGACGACCGTCGCCAGGCTCAAGCTCTCGGCAATTATGTCAGGTCGGGATCTCACGCAGCTCTCGAACCAAGACATGGAAGAGGTGATGTCAGCGTCCGCGACCGTCCTCGAAAGCCTTCGCACGATCAGATCAGAGCCAGGCCTGTCACGCTGGATGTGGCTGTGCCCGGCTTACGCAGAATGGGACGCAGTATCGGTCTGCCTAGCTGCACTTCTACTCGCCCGCTGGCGGTCAAAGGCTGCGACTCGTGCCTGGACGGCGGTCAATACTTTCTTCGTGGCATGGAAAGAGAGCTCGTACAATCCAGAGCTGTACAAGCGCTGGAACAAGCTCGAAAATTTGAAACTAAAAATCGAGAAATTGCAGCGACACCAAAGCAGCTCTCCTCTCCGCGACCAGAGCAATTCCAGCCTTTACAGCTCCACCGCTTCACTCATCGCACCAAACGAGCAGCGCCGAGGCTCTACCACGCCGAACAGCCCCAGTCCACTCAGTCCCGCTCATAGCAAACTGAGTAGCGTTTCGAGCAAGAGCACCGGATCTGTGAGGAGCGCATTTGAGGATCAGAATTGGCCTTTGAGCAACGCCCTAGGCCATGAAGATGTGCAGTACGATCTGAAGCTTTTTGCTTTGATGATCTAGAAACATATGCGCTGGTCCTGGCGGCGAGCATGCATTGTTCGGACACGGTGTATGAATAAACGAAGAGGTCGATGGAAATGTTTTAATGTTGGATACCCTACCATAGCACATTCTAGTAATGTATGTTATTTCCTCTTGTGGGGCTGGGACTGGCCTTCTTCCCGCTCTTTACTAAGCAGGTGGCCGCGTCCGCACGCCATGCGCTTGCCTTTCCATTCGAACGCCGACGACAACGACTTGAGGCCACGAACATCACATGTAAGTCTGCTCGACATCATTCGCAACATTATCGTCGGTTCGGACATCTCATAGATAGCAGTGGCTCATCAAGATTCCACATCGCTTACGAGATGGATTGGCCATTGAGGACTTACGCAATCATCGACGTAGGTATATCGGAGGGTGCAAGGCATGACTCTTCCAAGTGGCCGCAGCTGACCTTCATAGCCTTTGCTTTTAGTGGTCGCAGCCTGTCGACACGGGCAAGTTTTCTCACGATGAGATGGAAAAGCTGCGCAAGGAGATATCCGAGATGCCCACTGGAAAGAACAAAATGCCCCCCATTGAGAAACAAATACAGCGCGCTGGCGAGATCCTGCAAGAGTCTTTCTACTCGTTCCGCGGACTCGTCTTCAACAAGACCATCATGAAGCAGATTGCCCCACGGTTTTGACGGGGGAGCTCTCGCTTCAAAGGGTGCTCAAGGGCGATGAGACTTGAGCACTCGTTCAATTGGAGGACTATTTGGTGAGTGACGTGATGAATCTGCTTCGCCGTTTTTGCTCCACTTGGATTGTTCCATATGCATGCCAAGACACGCAAAGCTCACCTTGTTAAGACTCAGAATCATTTCGTAAGCTCGAGTGCGACATCAAAAACAAACTGGACCCATTTACACAAGATGGCCGACTCCGCTGCTATCTCGCTGGCAGCGATGAGCCTCGATGATGAATGCAATGCCTGCGCCAAACCAACACCACTACCTGTCCTGATCTGCTTCAAATGCAGTGAGGGTAAATCCCCGGAAGGAGAGTCGACTTACACCAAGTACTGCAGTATCCGGTGCCGCACTGCGCATCAAGGTCAACATGCTCAACACTGTAAAAACCAGAATATTCGCAGAGCAATCTATCGTGCGGGCGAACTACTTCAGAGTGCTCTTTATCAAATGCGGTTGTTAGCGTTCGACTTGAAAATCGACAGCGTCGAAAAGAAGGATGACGTGCTATACTTCAAGGACGGCGAATACAAGGGCGGCAAGGAATTTCCCTTCTACGCATTTCCCGGCGACGTTGTGAAGGACCCGGGGGACGCGAAAGCTCTGCTCAGCTATTCATTCTGCAATGACGCGCCTGTCTTTTTGAACTTCTTGGCCGAGAAAGCTCTCAAAGGTACTTATCTCACTTGACAAGTCTTCAGAAGCATTTCCAAGCTGACAAAATGATCAGGACTCGCACGCTCTATCGAACAAGCTGAATTGCAGATCTCTGCTCAATGCAAAGTTCGGCGGATTTACCCCAACGGCAATGTGGCACCTGATATTGACATGCACAGCGTCATGGGGATAGACGGGTGTGATGGCGAGTCATACATCATAGATATTACTGGTGCTCAATACGGCCAGTTCAAAGCAGTCATGCCGCTCGGATCATACGTGGAGCAGAACAACGCACGAGTCAGAACGATGTACTATGCAGGCGGTTCACGCGTGTCCGTGGTCAAGGACATTAAGATGAAGCTTGAGGATCCAAGCAGCGATCCACGTTGCCAGATCGGACTGTTCAAGGTGGCAACTGCTTTGAACACAACTCTGGAAGAGTGGGAGGCCCGCTGGCAGACAAGCATTGGTCAACTCTTGCTAACGGACAAGACCGTCTTTGCGAAAGGCAAGGAGGAACTGCTTTATGAGTTGGGAAATGCCGTGGATTCCGCGCTCGAAGAAATTTTCGAGGTGACAGATATGAAGACAGCACTTGGCTGGTTGCTCGAGCCAGCAGGTCAGGAGGTTCAAGATCCAGGCGCAGCGACCGACGAGGAGGGTCGCATGACTTGCATCGTGTCGAACAAAGTCGAAGGCTCCAGGCTGTACAAGATGTGGGTCGCACAGGGGAGGGCTGACTTGCAAGTTTCTCGTCCAGAGGAATGGAAGACTACGCACGAGCCAAATCTGGCAGCAGGAGGGACTATCAGACTGGCTTTGCCTTCTCAATGGCAGGGCCCAGCGTAAGAAGTATTCGCCAATGCAAGAAGGAATGTGTCGGTGGCAGCGACTTAGGGAATAAATCGCATACGCAGCGCCACAGCGTGGTATCAGCGACGCGCGACGCACATTGATACGAATGTCACTACATGCCATTACATTCAAGCATCGCCGCTCACCACCCATACTTACGCCCTTCCTCACCATCCTTCAACAAATCCGTGTAACCCGTCTTATCCCCAACCGCAAGCTTCTCAAAGTTTAACCTCACACTCTGCCTGATATTCCTCGCATAAGCCTGCTTGTTGTTGCCCGTCTAAGCACCACTGATATCGCCAAATGCCGCCTGCGCTCCCGCTGGCACATGTTGCCCAAACAACTGAGGCTTCAACGTCAATCACGTGAGATGGCCTCCCCAACTGACTCCTTGACCATGACACATCTGCCGGAACCCAATATCTATCTGTAGGTCCAGACATGGAATTGATCCCGAGCTCGAAAAGGATCCGCTGAGCGCCCTTTTGTGAGATGGCGTAGGCAAGCATGCAGAGATTGTTATGGGCGTGCGAGATCACTTGCGTGTGGTTGGGGTAGATTTCCATAAATTCCGCGCTACCCATTTGTTGCATTGGCATGAATCTTGGCATTGGATAGGAAATCTAGGTCAATTAGCATGCACTCTGTCGATACAGTGAAATCTTAAAGCCCGATGCGAATCATAATTTTATCAAAGCACAAAAGTTGGCAAAATCAAAAAACTTTCGCCCACACCTTCTCCCAAGCATTGCGCGGTGCATCGTCAACCCATAGGTGTTCTTGCCTGTCAATTTCAGCCTTGCCACTCATGAGATCAACCTCATAACTTCGTATGAATCTTGTTCGCTTTATGACCTTCCAGCCAATAATCAGTACCGCATAGATCGGAATGCCAATATAGGCGATGATGAAGTCCTTGGTATTCCAATTTCCTTTCGTGAAGACGGAGAAGCCATTGCCGAGGATAACTATGACGAAGAAGGCCAGGGAGGCATATGCCGTGTATACCGTTCCTACTGCACGAAAAGCCATCTCGCTACGATCGATGCCTTGAACCTGCGTCGCGCGATAGAATCGAATATAGGCAGTGACCACGGTAGACCAGGTGAGAAGACTTGCCAAAGCGGAGATATTCGTGAGCCAGCCGAACACGTTTGCAGATCCAGACGACACCGACATATACGCCAACAAGGAAAACGAGGCTGTCGAGAGCACGCACCACAGCGGTACTCCACTAGCGCAAAAGTCAGTATGAAGGCCCAGCCCTCCTTTTCGACCACATCTCACCTCTTTGTGCACCACAGCAGTATTCGTGGTGCTTGGCCAAGCTGTGCTAAAGCATACAAGTACCGCGAGCCAATGTAAACGCAAGCATTGCCAGCCGACGTTGCCGATGTGATAATGACCGCGTTGATGATAGATGGCAGTGCAGAGATGCCAGCACGCTGAATGCCTATCACCCATGGAGAAGCCTCTGCGCCAGACTTCTCCGTTAGGTTGGGATCGGTGTGCGGTACGAGCACGCCGACAGCAAGTGAGCCAAGAGCGTAGAAGAACAGGATCCGCTACACGATTGAGACACGATAATCAGCAACTGTCCCAAGCGCAAAGTGATCGTCATCTTACCCAAAACACCCTCCGAACTGCTTGAGGAATGCTCTTGCGGGGATTCTTAGATTCACCTGCTGCCACAGCCACGTATTCTAGAACAAATTCAGTGCCGTCTAAGTTAGGAATCGAGGATCGACTGCAACGAACCTGAACCGCCGTAGGAGAATGCAGCGCCGATGAACCCAGCAAAGAGGCCAGCAAATCGTCCCGTATCTCCAGTGCCAATGTATTCTGCCATTGCTGAATACGGTGATTTCCAGTATCTGAAGCCGAGACGATCACCGCTGGGACCTCCGCCGAGATCAATAATGAGGGCTAGAATGAGCAGACCAACCATGGTCACAATCTTGATCGATGCAAAGATGAACTCAGCCTCGCCTTTGGCGCAACAGTCAGTGCAGCCCATTTGCAGCCGTTGCTGAATTGGTCTCGCCCAATCTGCATTTACGTACCGTATATGCTCACAGCGAACACGTTAAGGGCCAAAATGACCACAATGAAGATGGAGATCCAAACAGCCGGGCTGATCGTGTCGTTCCAGTATGATATCAGAGTTGCTGCCGCAGAGAATTCTGCTGCAGTAGTGATACCCATATTGTACCAGTTATTCCAACCTACAGCAAAGCCAACAGCTTGATCCACATAGCGGGCGCCAAGTTGAGGAATAGCACCGGGCAATGGTAGCCAGGTAACCATCTCACCGAGGCATTGCATCTAGGCCCCATCAGTCGATGCATGTGTCGCGAAGCCAGTCCGCAGGCACGCTTCAGATCTCATACCATGCCCCATATCGCACATCCTGTGATGATGTAACCTAAAAATGTGCTTAACGGACCAGACTGAGCCAGGTGTCTACCGATACCGAGAAATAGCCCAGTTCCAATCGTCCCACCTGCCTCGAACGTCAGCAAATGTCCTAGAAATTGGGGTGCTCTCAAGGTATTGCCTATCGCAATGAATTGGACGTGGCGCTCCTTCAAGCCGCGTTTGACATATCGATACTGTGGCTGCACATGTTCGGGTGGGTCTCGCCAATCTCCTTCGGTCGACCTAGAAGTCTCGACAACAGCTGGTAGCTTCAGGTCTGCTGGATCGGCTGGCATATTCCACTTCTTGTCCACCAATTCAACGTCGCCTTGCATGTATGCCATGATATGTGGTGGCGCGCAGATCTCATATCCTTTCAAGTCATCAGAACCGTGCCATCCGGTGCCAGAACAGGTGTCATCTAGGATGGCAGTGAGGTGCCTTTTTCCCCTCCTGTTGTAACTACTACTTTCGCGCTGCCATACCTCAGCACCCGGTCATGGTTTCAAGTACCGAGAACCTTTGTCTTGTTTAGGAGATGTTGCATGGATGCCATTGGGGGTCAGTCTCGGGATAACTGGACTGCAGAGATGATCGATCTCATATCACAGATTCAAGTTAGCCTCTCTCGGCAGAAATCGTACCAGTTATCGGCATGAATTCGAAGCACTATAAGATGCACTTTTACAACTCATAACTACGCATTTCTTTCCGGCAAAGTCCCAGCACCCGGTTATGGCTTTAAGTGCCGAGAACCTTTCTCGCGTCTTAGAGAATTATAGATGCTATTAGGGGTTAATCTCGAGATAACTAGGCCGCAGAGATAATCGCAAGATGCACTTTTGCAACTTAGAATATTAACGCATTTCTTTCCGGCAAGGTCTAGTTCTAATACTACTATCGCAGATTACTGTGTTTTCGAAAAGTTCTAGCTACGGTATAGAGGCTACCTATTAGAGGATCTAAGCGCCTAATAGGAGAACCCCTAGCTCTTTCTTAGCTATAGAATCTACCTAATATTAGCTTTGTCTCCTCTTCCTTATTACGCCGTTCCTCTCGGTACTACTATTTGCTATATACGTCGAATTCTCGTTAGTTAAGGTATTGTTATCGACTTAGGTTACTCGTTTCTCGGTCGTTTAACTCGTTACTCGTTTAGTGCTATATCTACTTATTAGTATAGCGCCTCGCAAGTTAGTAAGAGCCTATAAACTAACCGAGAAGGTATTACCGGCTAAAGAGCCTATAGTAGAGCCTACGGTAGAGAGGCCGTTACTTTATAAGAAGCTAAGAACGCTCGAGAAGTCGATAAGTCCGCCGCTATTACGGCGAGGGCGTAGCCTTATCGAGAAGCCGGAAAGCGAGTTGTCTTTACTCGAAGATCTCTCGGAGATAGAAGTTAAGGTTATTAAGGTTAAGGATAACGATAATTACTTAGATTATAGCGGAGTCTTCGATAAGGGTATAATAGAAGCCTTATCTATTAAAGAGGCTACTTAGAAGGTTATTAAACTGCCTGTTTTTAAGCTACTAAAATAGTTAGATAGAGATACTAATATAGAGCCTAAAAAGCGCTCTTCTACGAGGGTTATTGTCTAGTGCGGTACGAAGTTTTATCTTATTAATAAGAAGGGTAAGGAGCTAGTAGGCACCTCTTCTATTAGTACGAGATTAGACCTAGACTTCGATATTGCCGTACGCGAGTAGGCTTCTTATAATGCTACTAAGAATAGTTAGCTCGTACGCCGGATTAAGCTACGAGTAATATATACCTTAATTAAGAAGGACGATATCTTCGAGACCGATAGGAAGCAGTCTTCGGACGTTATAGAAGCGCTAAGAGTCGCTAAATCGCTCTAAGAAGCTAAGAAGACAAACGTTCGAATTAATGTTATTATCGAGTGTTATACGCCGCTAGGAGGGCTTCTAGGTAGACTTCTAGTCGCTTAGAATGCTAGTAAGAAGAAAGCGACTAACGTTCAAATTGCCGCTAGCGACGTATTTATTACTAAGGAGCGGAAGGCTAGCAATTACGAGGCTAAATTGCGAGTCGAATAGACCTATATACTATTGTCTTGTCCTAATTAGAATTTCTACTGTTTCTAGCCTTAACCTAAACCTAATAGTGCCGAGAATCACTTCCCTTTAATAAGCGACTACTTAAGGTTATAGTCCGCCGAGATTAGAGATAGCAAGTACTTAAAGGAAGAGCCTAATATAAGGGTATTTAACAAGCTAAGAATCGCGAAGAAGGCGAAGAATAATAAGCGTACGGCGACTTAATCGAATACTAGACTCTCGGCGGCGACTAGAGCGACTAGATCGACGTAGACGATGCTAATTTAGTAAGGAATGCCGACTATAATAGGTAGACCGTCCTTAGTTACTAATATTAACTTTAGGGATGCTATTCGCGAGCTAGTACGTAGTTTGTAGCTAAATCGATCGATTATCGACTCTTCCGGTCCTATTACTCTAATCCGCGCTATAGTATCGCCGTCGGTATCGTTTGTTATATATAAGAGTGCTATACGCAACCTAGTTAGTAATAATTAGTCGCGGCCGCTTAAGGACCTTAAATCGGCGCTTTCGTAAATAAAGACCTAACCTAAGTAGAAGAACGACGAGGGCGATCGCGAAGCGCTAGTTTCGATAGAGGTAAAGGCAACGATTAAGAAATATAATATCGAGTCGCTCGGAGGCTTAAACAAAGAAGAATAGCGTAAGCTAACTAGTGTATTTAATAGTTATAGGTTTAGATTAAGGAAGAGTCTAAAGAAATAGGTAATGCTATCGGCTTAGGGTCTCGAGTAAGGAGGTATGCTTTCGAAATGTCCGCTAGCTTTATAATACGCTCGTTTTCTAACACTTACTAGACGTTCTATATTATAATAACACGCGGAGGTTTATCCTATATATATATACATTCTCGGCCGTAAATAGCTTATTTATATATATCGTTATTATAGCATTCTAGCATTAATCTAAACCTCCTAATTATTGCGAAGCTATACTATAGTGCTCCTATACGCTCGCTAAGCCCGCTATTCCGAGTGCGAGATTACTATTCCGAGACCGAGAATTTCGCTGTTCTCGATTTTATTCGCAATAACGCAACGATAATCTTAATCTCTATATATATATCTATAATCTCTAAGATATTAGCTAATTTGCAAAAAAACAACGAAGAGAATCTATAAACTAATCGTTAAGGAAATATATATTAAATATAGCGGACTCGAGAATTTTACGATACGGTCGGCTTTGCGGGGTTTACGGTGCCTCCGCTTCGTTACAACAAATGCTACGATTCTTTACTAAGCAGCTAATAGATCTATAACGGGGTAATAAACATACTTTTTGTATATAACGATAGCTATAACTCTAACGCTTCTTCTAATCTAAAAAGTATATTATAAAGTAGTTGTATTATTAAATAGTAGCTCTAATCCGAAATCTTAGATTTGTAGGTTAGCAAGTCCGGAGACTAACTCCTTAGACCCTATTTCTACCTCTTCCTTATTAACGTTATATCCGCTATATTTAAATATTCTACGTACATTCCGGCCGGCCTATTAGTATAAAGTATATACTAGAAAGGCATTAAATAATAGATAACTCTTCTGCTGCTCCTAGTTCCTTTTAATCCACTTTTTAAGTACTATAAAGGTCTGTTCGATCGGGTTAAGATCTAGCGAATATAGCGGCAAGTACTCTAATCTATAGCTAGCGGATAGGACGATATCTCTTAGCGACTTGCTATAGTAAATACTCGCATTATCGAAGACAAGTATTATCTCTTAACCTTTAATTAGCGGTAATAACTTGTTCTTAATCTACTAGTTAAATAGGTCTTATTTAATAGAGCTATAGATATATAGAGTATAGGGCAAGTATCTATTAATTGTTAGAGCCGGCAATACTAACTATCTCTTCTCGCGCTTAGTAGACCTCATTTCTATACAATCTATATTAATAGGCGACTAGCTATATTTACGGTATCTAGTCTTCTAATTAGAAGTAGTCTTATCGATATAAACGACCTTCTTTACTAGAAAGCGACGCGCCTTTGTTATCTAAATAGTACGTACTATCTTATTGCGCTTAGAGGCGATCTAACGCGCTAACTTCTGAGACTAACCTTCTACTAACAATATATCCTATATAGTCGTAAAAGCCGGCGGCTTTATCTCTAGAAACGCTTCTATTAAATTAAACCTTATCTTATCGAGATATGCGTCCGGACGACCTATTAGGTATTCTAGTAACTATTCTATCTGCTAGGTTATAAAGGCGCGCGGTCTGCCTGCTCTCGCCGCTCGAGGCGTTAATACCTATCTAAATAGCTCGATATTTATCTGCTAACAACGTATAGTGCGCTTCGGTACGCTAGTAGTATTATAGATGTCTTTTTGTAAGAAAATAGGTATATAGCAACGTATAGAACACCCTCTACTAATCTTAGTAGTAGATAGTAGAACTAAACCGTGCCTTTCTTAGAATAGGGCAGAGCGTTTACTATTAACTAGGCTACGCACGGATAGCATATATACTAAGCCGGCAACCGAGCATGTCCGTACGAGCGACCGAGCTTTTCCGCGTATACGCTAAGCAGGCTTTACGCTAGCGTAGTAGCACCGCAGTGCACGTAATAACATTATATAATTGTTATATAGGCTTACTAAGGTAGGATAGGAGACTTTACTTAATTAGGTTCTTACAATTATCTCCTTCCCCCGGTATAGCTATCCTAGCTATAGGGTAACATAGTAAATTATACTATTTCTTATACTCTACGCTGCACTTGCGCGTCTTATACGTACCTATCGCTAGGCTATAGTTGCTAGGTACGTTATAATTTGCCTCGTAGTTGCTTGTTTGTTTATAGATTTAAAGCGCGGCTACTTCTAGTACTAATTAGAGGTTGCCTAAATTTCTAAGAACGCGGTAGCTACGCGAGAACGCAAGCTATCCGAAAGCGAGGCGAGTATTTAAAGTATTCGAAGCCCGCTTAAAAACTTCTTCTTTTTCTAAGCGCTCCGAATACCCCCCGCCTACCCTCTACCTACTCCCTCCTTACGCCCCCCTAGTATTACTTAAAGATTTTTCTTTTTTAAACATCTATTAAAAAAACATTACTAGTATGTCTATCCCTTCGCGTGCCTTAGGTAAGCGCGCCGTAGGCGCACCGCTCTCG